CCCCACAGCTATAAAACTGTGGGAGCTCAGGAGTTCTACCCCTATCTGGGAAGCTCTCTCCCCTCCCCTTTGCCCGGGAAGGGGATTCAAGCCGCGGAGCAGCTGTTTGACGCTGCTCCTGCGGCTTTTACGCGTCCTCGGAGCAGGCGGCGAACGAAAACGCCGCCATCGGCACAGGAACTCAAACCGGAAGTCTATTTAATTTGATTTTAGAATAGATATTTATTGTGATTTTTATTATCGCCTGTTCACTGCCCTGAGTCCCGTAAGGGAGATAGGGCGGTATACAAATCTAAATAAACATAAACATAAACTCTCCCTACATTACAATTAGGACCAACAGTACAATACCAAGACCTGTTAGAACCTGGGGAAATAAAAACGTGGGAAGAGAAATGCGAGGCAATATATGAAGAAGGATTTTGGTGGGTCCCGGATGGGAGACCCATAGCTCCCAGACGTCTGCTACGACTAATCTGTCAGCAGTTACACTCCAAAGGACACTGTGGGACACAGGCAATAGTAGATGCCATAAGGAGAGTGTGGTATGCCCCAGGGGTCTACAGTGAAGCCACTCGGATAGCCAAGACATGCCAAATATGCCAAGCAAACAATGCTTCCTCAAGAAAAGCAACGCACGCGGGGGGGAGACCATGGGCCCAACGCCCCTTTGAAAAACTCCAACTAGATTACATTCAGCTCCCTAGAAACAATGGTTACCAATACGTGCTAGTCTGCAGAGACCAGCTCACCCACTGGGTGGAGGCATACCCATGCTGCCATGCCACTGCTCTGGAGACAGCAAGACACCTATTAAAAGAACTTGTGCCCAGGTTTGGAGTCCCAAGTGTTTTAGACATGGACAGAGGCACACACTTTGTGTCACAGGTAATCACACATGTCCTCCAAGCGTTGGGCATTAAACAAGACCTACACACACCGGGACACCCCAGTTCCTCGGGGGGGTTAGAGAGACAGAATAGAGAATTAAAGACTCTCCTAGGTAAACTCTGTCAGGAGACCCGCCTGCCCTGGCCCCAAGTACTACCCATAGCCTTGTTCCACCTTAGAACCCGGCCAAGGCGGGACATAGGCATCTCCCCCTTCGAATTATTGTTTGGTCAGCCACCTGACACACTCAAATGCCTAGACCCCCAGTCCCTCTGTTTGGAAAAAGGGGAGGTGGTCTTATCATCCTATCTTACAGCTCTACACCAGAGGCTCAAAGAGCTGTGGAAGCAAAGTGCCCTGACGCAAACCTACATCGTTTTGAACCAGGGGACTGGATTTGGATAAAATCATACAGCCGCAAGTCACCACTACAACCAAAGTGGAGTGGGCCCTTTCAAGTTCTGCTAACCACCCAGACAGCAATCAAGGTAGCTGAAAGGAATGCCTGGATCCATTGGACGCACATCAAACCAGCAGTCGTAGACCACAGCATTATACCTGAGGCAACACCCCTGAGGCTCAAGAAAAACCCAGAAACTGAAGAGTGGACGCTAAAGACACTCTTTGAAACTGAAACAAATGGGGGAGGGAATTAAGTTCATCTTTGTTAAAATCCTGTATACTATTTGTATTGTATTTTTGTATTTGAAATGTACCTCTGGGTTCATGGAACCATAATTATTTCCAGAAAAGGGGAATGTATGGGAGTATTTAGCAAGAGAAGTGCTGAACACCACAGATTTTTGCCTTGCTGGGGGTAGATCAGTAAAAGACATCTTAACCACATGCCTGATGGGAGTAGCAATAGCACCACAAGCCATCACTAATGACACTAAGTTAAGAGAGCACCCACTCACAGCCTCATATTCCAATATCTTTGATTGGGGGACCAGTACAAACATAAAAGACAGCATCATGTATATATTGCAAGTGGCAACTGTAACTCAAGCAGCTACTTGCTTCACACTAACTGGATGCCACAGGCCTAAGGTCTCAAGCTGCTACAACCTCACTAACACTGAAGTGGCCTGCAACAACACCAGGGCCATCACCTTTTCATACGGCCATGTGAAACTTCCTACAGGATGGTTTCTGCTGTGTGGCCTAAAAGCTTATTCCTACCTGCCAGCAAACTCCACAGGGGGCCCTTGCACATTAGGGCGACTAACCATGTTAATGCCCTCCCTGCAAAGGCGGCAAAAGAGAAGCTTCCACACATTGCCTCCCGACTGTGACTCAAAGGCCTCCCTCCTCACCAAAGCTGAATATATTGCATTGGCTGTATCTCTAGTGGGAGTGCCAGGGCTTGCAGCACGGAACTCAAGGAATATAAACAGCCTGGCATGTACCCTAGCTAAAAGCCTAAACACCACCTCCCATGCTCTAGATGCCTTAAACAAGGAATTAAGGCAAGTCAGAGAAGCAACCCTCGAGAATAGAGCAGCTATTGACTACTTATTGTTAAGGCACAATCATGGCTGTGAAGAATTCCATGGGCTCTGGACTAATTGAACAAGATATCAAACATTTAAAAGAACTAGCACAGAACATTGGACACAACCAATCATCCTGGGACCTTTCCTGGCTCTTCTCATGGTTACCAGACTTCCATTGGTTGAAAATTCTCATTGCTAGCATAATCACAGTCATAGTAGGTGGAGCCCTCCTCTGTTGCCTATGCCAATTAATTCCTTTAGGGTTGAAGTGCCTAAAGATCTGCACAACTCCCATCAGAGGCAAAGAACAGAGCAAGAAAACCTCTCTCATGATGTGCCAAATTGATCGCCACTACCAAGTATATGAGCCAGTTGGGCTGATCACTGGTACACCAGTGATAGCCCAAAATGGGGGAATTGATAAGAGCAGGACACCCCCTCCCCACCCCAATGAGGGAATATCTTGGCAAACACAGGAAAAAAAACCAATGCGAGCTAACCTGATTCAGCAGCAGCCTGAGGCTGGATAGCAAACACTTAACACACACTGAATGCAGAACTGGCTAGCAGCAATTAAGATTAACAGGATTAGAATAACCAAAAGGTACATAACAATAAAGTGATTAACACCTTTTAGGCAGAATTGAGAAGGAAATTTACCCAATAATAGCCACTGACCAGCAAATCAGAAAAGACAGCTTTAAACTCACCAATCAGAAATGACAATTTTGGAAACCACGAGAGGGTATAAAAACTCAGGTTTGGAGACCATTCTGTCTAGCTAGCCGGGGATTCATGCTGAATTGTCACTCAACTTTAATCTCCGTGCTTAAACCTCTCTTTCCGGTAGCTGGCTTCACGTTCTATTTGTCCTCCTCTGCACTGTTAAGGAGAATCCCGGCTGGAAGAGCCTGGACGGGGGAGTTCCTCCCAACAAAATCATGTGACCATCAGGATGCTGGTCATAAGTGTGAAAAATGGTCATAAGTCACTTTTTTCAATGCCGTTGTAGCTTCAAACGGTCACTAAGCGAATTGTGGTAAGTCAAGGACAACCTGTAATCACTGTGAACCTGGCAAGAATTATTTTGGAGTTCAGCAGCCTAAAAATATTTTTTATTAGATGTATTTGCCGCCCATTTCATTTCAAGGCAGCTCTGGGAGGCTTACAGCATTAAAAGCATTAAAACCATAAAAGATAAATATTTCTAAAATGATAGAAATGGAATCACAATCGGGCCCTTATGGAAGGTCAGGAGGGTGGGAGCTGATCTCACCTCAGGAAGTAAGATGTTCCAAAAGGCAAGAGCCACAGCAGAGAAGGCCCTTCTCCTACCTAGACTCTGCCAGTTGAAATTCCTTGACTGATGGGGACCACAACAGGCCTCCTCTGTCAGCACAGGTGGGATGGGCCAGTCCCATTGGGGTGAGATGGTTCCTCAAATAAATGATTCCTCAAGGCCCATGCCATACAGGGCTTTAAAGGTAGTAACCAACATCTTGAATTGCTTTTGAATATATGGTGAATGAATAAATAAATATAATCTATCTATATATAAATAAAAATGTAAATGTTCGTTTGTTCAAAATCTTAAATCTCCGAAAGTTCTTCACCGATTGCTTTGAAATTTTGACACAAAGTTGCATTCGAATACGCGTGTGTTTTTATATACCTACTATTATATAGATGTCACACCTGTGACAGGTAAAAACATGCTCTTTAAAGCATAAAAACATGCTTTAATGAGCAATGTCGTAGAAGCAACAATCTTGACAGGACCTTTCAAAGGTGAAGATGTCCTCATTCCTCGCATTCCTATGATTCCAACGGATATGCCATTTCAATTTAAGAGATTGCAATTCCCAATTCGATTGGCGTTTGCAATCACCATCAACAAAGCTCAGGGCCAATCTTTAGAATTGTGCTGTTTAGATCTAGACACGGATTGGCATTTGCAATCACCATCAACAAAGGTCAGGGCCAATCTTTAGAATTGTGCGGTTTAGATCTAGACACGGATTGCTTCTCACATGGACAATTATATGTTGCGTGTTCTAGAGTCGGCAAACCAGACAATCTCTATATCTGCACAGACAATGGAACAACAAAAAATATTGTATACCCACAAGCATTGTGAAATTAAACATATTACAAACGTGTGCTTTCTCTTTTCTTTCTTTTCCATTTAACCAGACTGAGCCACAGCAACGCATGGCCGGGTACAGCTAGTACTCAATATATTTCTTACAATAATATGTAAATATCAGAGTTCAGTTGATTTTGTACAACTACTTTGGATCTAACCCATTATGTACACAACTGTTTACATATACAGTACATATAGTCTTTGTTGAAGTTATCAAAATAAATTGTAGTGCTTTGAAACAAGAAAAATATATTTAAAAGGAAACTTTCAGGATCTTGTAATATTTCAGTCTGGTCTCAGCTTGGAAATGTCCCTGGCACGGCTTGGAAAAGTGGTTCCCAAATCAAGCATCTTGTTCCTGTGTGACATGCAAGAGAAATTCCGCCCCAACATCAGCTACTTCCCTCAGATTGTGTCTGTGGCAGCTCGGATGCTGAAGGTAAACACTGGAGGGTAAGGACAAAGAAGTTTGACATGATCTAGAGACAGGAGAGAGAGAGAGAGAGATGAAGGGATAGGGAAAGAAATTATTTCACTAAATGGTTTTGATTTGGTACCCAATCAAAGTACCCAAAGTACAGCAATTCAGGATTCTAAATAATGGGTTCCAGAATTCATTCAGGTGTTACAAGGAGGCCAGGCTTTAGCTGTTAGGGATGTTACCCAGCAGGTTCCTCCAAGACTGAGTCTAGTCCATAATCCTGAGGTAGGTATTGCCCTAATTTTAGTGACTGTCTTGGGGGCTGCTTAGCAAGAATGTTTAGCATTTGCTGTCAGTGTTGGCAAAACCAGGCATCACAACATATTGTTTTTACCAAGTGTCATGGCAGTGATGAGGTGCCTAGGCAATTGGTTTTTTGGGATCCAGAAGACAATGAACAATCCAGTAAATATAGGGATTTTAAGCTCTGTTATTAACTCAAGCAAACAGATGTAAAAGCTTAACATAAAAAGCATATATATACCAAGCAAGATAATACCCAAATTTCTTACAAGCTGTCAGGATCTCCTTAATAATGACAGCAGAGATGTCCCAATGGGGGCCAATTTCCACGGTACCTAGTGCTAGGCTTCAGGCTGAAGTTTCCTGCAAACAACAAACAACCCACCCCCACCCCCCCGATTTTTATCAAAGCCTGGTACCATGACTTCATGGCCCTGCTATGGTCAGGAGATTGCAAGAGGGCCTGCTGACCTTGACTGGTGGCACATGACTCTGGGATGGGAATGAAAAGCCTGAGACTTTCACTGTGAGTAAAGCTATGTGAAGATCTAGCAAACAGGAATAAAAAATAAGCAGGCTAGCTCAGAATGAGCTCTAAATTTCTAGACTTTTCTTAATGTGAAAGAGAAATCAAAATATGTCACCAAACTCCTCAAAATAACAATGGTCTTCTGCATTGCCACTACACAAGTACTTCTGGGGATGCTCCCTCGATTAGAGGGCCTTCATAAAACACAGGCCATTAAGGCAAGGCTAAGGTGTCTTGTGCAATTTCTTAGATGGACACCAGGGGTCAGCATAAAATCAGCGTCTGAAAAGCTCACCTCTCCATCCAATTTGGGAGTCCAGCTTGTTTTCACCCTACCCATCCCCAAGGCCCTGTTCTGTCTCCTGACAGGTTGCTGAAGCTCTTGAAATCCACACTGTGGTTACCGAGCAATACCCCAAAGGTTTGGGTCCAACAGGACCGGAGCTGGGAGCTGAAGAATTGCCCAAATACACCAAAACATGCTTCAGCATGCTTATCCCAGAGGTGGAAAAAGAGATGGAATCTGTTCCCAACTTGAAATCCATACTTCTCTGTGGAATCGAGACACAGGCTTGCATCATGGTATGAGATCAGGAAACTGGCTTTTGGGGGTAAGGCACAAGAACTGATGCCAGGGTAGACAGGCTACCTATGCAGCTTTTATCAGTGTACCAGTAGAAGAGAATATTTGTAGCTCACAGTTGAACTGTGAGGTCCTTGATGCTCTCTGAGCTTGGTTTCATCAATGTTCAGCAGAAAGGCAGTAAACTCAGCTCCCCTCCTATTTGTGCTGCACAGAACCCAACTGCATACGTATATATATATTAAAAATAACATTAAAAATAGAAGATCGATTCAGGAGGGACCAGGACGGTACCAGGACTCTCTCCGCCCGGGGGACCTTGTGGACCTGTTGAGTCTCTGCCTCAAAACATATTTTACGTTCCAGGGCAACACGTATGAGCAAATAAAGGGTACTCCCATGGGATCTCCCATTTCAAGTGTCATAGCTGAGGCCGTGTTGCAGCAATTAGAGCGCATAGCGATGGCTCAGCACCCCCCCTAAGTTCTGGGCCCGCTATGTCGACGACAACTTTGTCATTATCAAGAGGAGTCGCAAAGCTGACTTTGTGGGTGCACTCAACTCAGTGTGCGCGAACATACAGTTTACGGAGGAGGAAGAGCACCAGGGTAGGTTGGCGTTTTTGGATGTTTTGATCCACCGCCAACCGGATGGAACCCTGAGGACCCAGGTCTACCGTAAACCCACGCACACTGACAGGATTTTACATTATAACAGCAACCATCCGGTGGCCCACAAGGTCAGCTGTATTAGAACGCTCTTTAAAAGGGTGGACTCCCACTGCAACACGGCCAAGGCTAGACTGGAGGAGAAAAAACATCTCTTCCGCACCTGTAGGCGTAATGGGTACCCCGTAGGGTTTATCAAACGCCATGGCACCCTAACTAGGCCCCCTAGTAACTTGCAAACAGGGGTGCTACCGTCCCAGGCCACCCGTATTGCTCTCCCCTATATTAGTAACGTTTCGGAGGCTACAGCTAGGCTGTTGGCACCCTACAATGTAAGGGTGGCACACAGACCTGACCGAACGTTACGCTCCTGTGTTATGAGACCTAAAGACCCGCTGCCCACCACTGAGAAGTCTGGGGTGGTGTATAAGATCAATTGTAGTAATTGCCCCATTAATTATGTGGGGGAAACTTCGAAAAGAATTAAAACAAGGGTCCAGGAGCATAAACTTGCGATCAAAAGAGGGGAGCAGTACTCCCAAATTTTAACTCATATGGTGGAGTCTGGTCACAAGTTTGATTTCGATGGAGTGAGGGTAATTGCCACCAATGCTTCGAAGAGTGGCAGGTTGCTTAAAGAGGCTTGGCTCTCGGGAGAAGGATCAGTCAACCGGCATGTGGACCTGCGCCCAGCGCACTTAACGATGAGAGCGTGGGAAGCACGTACCCGATTACCATGGAGAAAGCGACTAGGTAACAAAAACTTTGCACACTCACCAGAAAAGACCAGCATTGGAAAGAAGCAAGACCTACGGTCCAGAGCCCCCTTGGTTGAGAACCGGCATGCACGCTCTTCGCAGGCAAGGGAACCCATCGATTCCAACGCCCCGCCGCCCGATTTACTGAACAGCCCTCCGCACCATGACCAGCATTTGGGAGCAAGGACAGTACGCACGCTGCCCGGGGGATGGAATGGCTACCATCCCAGGGGCCGTACAAACCCCCCCGCCCAGGACACGACAGTGGAGACAGCAAGAAAGGGGGAGGTAACATCTTTGAGACCCCCACCATGCCACCGCACCTGTTCGGACTGGCGCAATGTAACCACACCCCCGAAGGACACGCAAGGGGTTAACACCCATAGCCGCTCCACCATAGGACTAGTAACGCGCTCCCAGGCAGCAGCGTAGCGAAGGCGTGAGGAGGAGAAAGCCACCAGCAAACTAGGAACGGCATCGGGCCCCGTAGAAGGAGAGAAGGGAGGTTGCCGATCGGATGGAGTATCGGAACGGGTGCCCGTGGGAACGCCCACCACCCCCACGATTGAACAACGGAACCTACGGACTGATCTGTGTGATGGCTTGGGGGTTGGTGGGAGGGACGGGAGGAAGATCCCCATCAGAGGTAGGAACGGCACGGGTATCAGTGAAATGGAAGGAAAGAACACAGTGGAGGTTGTGAGTGGATGCAGGATCCCTAGGACTGGTATCAGTGAAATGGAAGGAAAGAACACAGTGGAGGTTGTGAGTGGATGCAGGATCCCTAGGACTGGACTTCACC